ATTCCACATCAGTGGTAATGGTAGCTACATAACAACTGAGATGGAGAACACTAATATTACCAATATAGTCTTGATGACTATCACTGAATTTAGAAATCACATTATCCTCTGCATTTGTATTTTACGACTGTGCTCATGTTTATTTTATTTGCACTACTTGATGAGAGAACACGGGTTAGGAAAGACAGAGGAGAACCAGGTTATCATCAAGGGCCTGAGGACAAGTATAGGACACTACTTGCGATTGAACCAGGATAAGGGCAAAGGCAGGACAAGGTAAAGCATTTCAAATAGGGATGGATGAATATTAATGCACTTGCACATAGAAAAAATCTGATCACACATGCAAGAAGTCATAGGAGAAGTGGATTTCTGTTGTCCTTCTTTAGCATAGGGAAGACAGAATTGAGAGGAGAGGATAAGGCTCAGAAAATACACAAAGGGGCTACTGCAGAGGAAAGGGGTGGTGGGTACTCCATAGCTGCAGGGGTAGAAATCAGCATGGGCGCAAGGAAGATTCACACTTGTCATTAGGCAAATTATGGTAATACATTAATGAAGTATTTCAGTGAGTTATTTCAGACTCCAGGAATAGTCTGTCTCCACAGCTGTTAAGAATAGGCGAGATGCATAGATGCAGGAATGACATTGGCAGAACTGACTCCACTTGGGACACAAAACTGGTTTAAATCCCTTTTGATTCCCTCCTGTCACGACTGTGCTGGGAGTGTGAAGTTCCTGCCAGGTGCTTGCAGTAACAGGGTTAGACTTGTTGTTCTCCCATTCCTAGGTCCCTTCTTTCACTTGAGCAGTGCAAGAGCAGCACTCCTATTCAGTATGTCTGAGAACACCCAGAACACACTGCCCTAACACTAGCAATAAACCTTTAGCAACAGCAACATAACGAGCACTGAGCACAATGACCACTGACCTTTCCTGGTAGGGATTGTTTGCGGGTGAAGTCAATAATTACCATCCCAGCAGTTCTTCTGCATGTACTTGGCAATGACTAAAGAACCAAAGACAGACTGGCTAGGACCACAGCTGGCAGGGGGTGAAAAGGAGGGAATGCACAGACAAGGGAGCATAGCCCTTAAGCGCACAAATCCCCTGAAATTGGGTTCTGCTGAAGTCCGTGGGACAAAAGTACACACGGAGGTGAAGCTTGAAGAGGCAGAACAGCTGCAGAAGAGACCCGTTTTATGTACGTCTGTGATGCTCCTCTGTGCCTTGGAAAGGACCCAACGGCCAAGAAGGGAGTGATCCCAGCAAAGGATGGGCAGAGAGAAAAGATGGACAAAATGGGTCGAGCTGTGATGGAAACAGCCAGGAGCCATTTGGAGAGGTCTCAGCAGTGCTCACAAGTCCTTGCAGGACAGAGCTGCTCCATGCTGTGCAGGACCTCAGCTGATGGATGGCAGCTAAAGCAGGTCCAAAAGTGACGGTACTTGAAGGACCTTGAGCAGAGCTCTGGCAGCTTCCCATGCAATAAGTGGTCACGACAGCCTATTATCCACTGATTTTACTTCAAGGCTTAACTAATACAGAGGCAATTTATCTGCAATTCATTCTGTCCTTGTAAATATAGGTCAGCAGCCCCTTTTATAAGCAGAGTGGAGACAAGGTCTCCTCAGTCAAGGTCTTAACTCCATAGAGAAACCACAACATATCCCTGCTTGTCCCAGGGGAGGCCCTGGGCGTTTGGTAGTGATTAATTTCGTGGCAGGCTGTTCCATGTCCTTGGCCCGGGGGATGCAGACTGCACCTGTTCGTTGCCCTTGTAGAGGTGTCTCCCCGCGAGCCCTCGGATACAACCATAAGTCATTGCTATTTACTAGTGTGCAGCGTCTTTCTCCCTCCAAAGGCATTTCAGCAGTCGGACAGCTCTGGTTTTGTAATCAAAGCAGTTTATGTTAAGAGCTGAAAGTTGGGCTGAAGCTGCAGGACGTGGGGGAAGGCTCAGTGCGTGTTCCCCATTTACAGCTGATTCCCTGTTCTCACAGCACAGGGAACAGCCAGAGGACTTTAATTGCCGAATAGAGTCGGGAGAGAGAGCTTGAAAAATGACACAGGTGGCACCTGATGAACCAGCACAAATCATCTACACTGGTGTAACCCAAACCGGGGAATGTGAGTTTGGGAAATGCACTACCTTAGTCTGGTGAAGCTGGAAGACATAAAAGATGGGGTCTACAAAGGTGTTTGTATTCCACTGGAAAAAAAAAAAAAAAAAGGGGGGGAAGAGGTTTTCTGTAACACAAAACTCGCCCTGCTTCCCCTACAGTGAGTGCTGCATTTTACCAGGATCCTGACCGGCAAGCTGGGCAACTCATTCCTATCTACCAGAAACAATGAGAAGGTAGAGGGAAGAGGACAAAAAGTTAAAAACTTCTTGGGTTAAAAAAAAAACAAGGTAGGAGAAAAGTGTTTTCTGTCCTTGGTGTGCCATGTGAGCTGTAATGGGATTCAGGAAGGTATGAGATAAAGACAGCAGAAGAAATGAATCCCGGTCAAGACAGAGCTATGATCATTAGGGGAATTTTAACCTCGCCTGAAGCTATTTACTGCAAACATCTTAAAACACAACCTCTGTGTGACCTTGAGAAAGATTTCTCCCAGTTTGAAAATAAAATTCAGAAGGGGAGAATGGAGAAAATTGATAGAATAATAAGCACTCCAGAGTTTAAACACAGACATTATTGAACCCAGCCTGTGTAAAGCTTTCCCAATCACTGATGTAGGCTCTCTTGAAAAAAACCTCATATACTGTTCCAGTTTATTTGGATTTGGAAGAACAGCAGGCGATATGGGCACAAGATTAAGTACCAAGGTCTGCAACTCTTGCTATGGGCAGAATGCATCAAACACCCACAATTAGCTACTGCTATTATCCTGCCGCGTGCAATGCAGATACATACCCTGCACGTCCTGCCAACATCTCGGAACTAAAAACAGAAACACTTCTTTCACACTTGGCATGCAGGAAGAACCCGAGTTCAGGCAGTGAGGACAATATTAAGCTTCACGAGAAAAGCTCTCATATGGTTCCTGTACACGACCTGCTAACACGGTTGACAGAAGCACTGAGCAGATGCCCCAGGACAGTGTGAGGAGCAGAGCTGGCCGGGATCCTAGGGCTACCTTATGCAAGATATGACAGGCAAAGTGAACCTCAGAGGTGCTCCTACTACAAGCACAGATGTTAGGCAGGAAGCATACGGCCTGCATGCCCCACAGGGCAAGAACCCCCTCACCTACCACTGCCATCCCTTCTGGTTCACCTGAGCGCCACGAGGCAGGCAGACGAAGGAACAGTGTCAGGGTTTGAACTGTAAGTCAATTCGGGTCCCCGTAGTATCTTAGGCTGGCGAGCCCTTTGGTGACCACAGTTGCTACCTCTCTTTCGCTACCTCTCTTTAGAGCTGGCCCTGCTGTCTGTGGGGTGAGTGTCAGACAACATGTCACTGCTCCATGTCACTAGCTACGGTCAAATTCCAGGAAAGAGGATTTGTTTTAGGGTAAGTGCCTTGCAATCTGGTCAAACAGAGGTTTGTGGAGGAGAACAATGTGATTCGTACCTGCTTAAAGGAAGGGAAGGGCGACAAACAAGCCATGCTAACGCTGACGTTTATAACTTATTCCATAAACAGTCAATGGGTCATATCACTCACTTCCAGCTCTTCGGCCTGTGGCCCATCTGGGTTGCCACCAATTATGTGTTTCCAGGCAAGGTGATAGACAGGCTATTACGTTCTCAGGACAAGACTCTGCCCCTTGCAGTGACACTTACTGACATCTTGACTGCTTTCCCATCTCCCCCACCTCACTGTCCACGGCCATAATCCATAATCTGGATTACTTGATTCCCAGCAGAAAAGGATGCTGCAGGGCTCTGGCTAGGTTCTGTAGGCTTTTACCTCTTTGTGACCTCTGCCATATAACAACAAATTGGATGATGTCAGCAGCTCATCAAGAAGAGCAGAAGGCAGCTCCACATCTTCCGAAGCTAATGAGCAATATTTAAAACACGCATGTCCTTTAGTGTTGTTTCAACTGATCACCGGCTGGCTGCAGCTGATGGCCTGAGGGAATACTTAGTGCTCTCCTCCCTGCCATCACGGGGACCACAAGTGCAGAGAGTGGGAACTTTTCACAGGGTGTGACATGTCTTTCTCAGCATTGTGGAATAACTACAGCAGTGGAGTCTGTCTCAAAGATGGTGGCAGGCTCTACTTTTGAGTTGTGTTGGTAGGACCTCACTAATGTAACACTGTTTTGGATTTGTATGCGCTGTTACAGCTTCACTATCCTGTTGGGTTCATTTGGGGCAAAGAATTTGTTGGGAATAAGTTTTATCCTCTTTGATTTTACATTAGAATAGATCTTTCTGCATGTGTGTTGGCAAGAAGTCACCTCTCCTCAATTTCATTTGTAAGCGGTACGATCATGGTGAAATGCCTATTTACAGCCAGACTTACTCTTTTTTAACAGGTCCATGCAGAGCACCTTTTGCTTCTGGCAGGAACAGCCAAACACCCCCTCAGCAAATGCTAGAGCCAGTAGGCAGTCCATCTCTTCACTTCCTTCTGAAGGTTCAGCTGTTCTGCAGCTTGAGGTCCATAAGTGAGGTCCTGGCGCCCACTGAGGAGTGAAAGGCAGAGTGAGTGCGGTAACGTATACCCTAGGAGAAGTTAAGTCTTGATGTGTTTGACATTCTCCCCATGGAGCGTCTCAGGGACACCGTTGCAGTCTGGTCTGTGTTAGCCCGGAACGCTGTGGTAGTGCCTCAGCTAATAAGGTCATCCTGGATCTTCTGAATGTTGCTTGACCTGGAGGGAAAGGGGGCGGTGAGGTAGAAGAGATGGAAGGGAAGCTCTTTTGCCACAGGGAAAGGAGATCACGACCCTTTAAGCATGGATATCCCCAAGCCAGGCAGAACGGGATGTTGGCATGGGAGGAGCAAGGATTATGTCAGTGTCATGTGTTTCCTTTCTCCACAGCTGCCACTGGATGGGAGTAACATGAATCATCAAACACCACAGCTATGTGGTTTGGCCATGCAGGGGCACGGAGAAGCATTGAACACGATACTTGTCACCATCCAGAGCTTGGACCAACCATCCCAGGGAGGGATGTCAGTATGGCTATTCCTACCATAGGCATTGCCCAGGAAGTGCCACCTACTCACTCATTGCCCATGAGAAGAGGACAGAGGTTCAGGAATGACTGCATGAGGAGGAGGAGGGCACACACAACACTGAATGCCTCATGATCTCGTCAAGAATCATTTCACAGGATGTGTGTTTCAAGGGAAGAACTTTAGACCCAATTTTGGATTTCAGACAGCCTTCGGATGTCTGCTTTCCCTATTCCCTGGAACAGATGCCATCTTAGGTTCTTTAAGAGTACAAAGTTAAAAGCAATACCGCTACCTGCTTCCAGAAACTCTGACCACTGCTCGACCGACTTAAATCTTCTTCTGAAAACTTTTCCCAAGGTGTTAGACAGACCAACACATCTCCTCAGCCTGATTTTTTTCTGGCCCAAGTGGCCACCAAACGGCGATCCCTGAAATACTCCTGAGTGTATCTCTCTGCTCCTCATTTCAGTGGTGATAATAGGACCTCTTGCATGGCTATGGTGCATGGTGATGGTGGGATCATAGCGTGTGTGCTTCAGTTGCAGTATCTGCAAGACTCTGGTTTCCCATTAAATGTCTCCTGTGTTGCTCCCAGGTTGTGATACTTGACGGCTGCAGGCATATCTGGCTCTTTTTTTTTGGGTTTTCCCATGTAGACTGTCCTCTCATTTCTGTAGCACTGCTTTCCTGTTGGGCTGAGCATGTAGCCTGCAGAATTAGCTAGGACAGGTGGCTGCGAGTCCTCTTTAAGGATCTGTGGTGGAATCTGCTCTTCACTTCTGCTCAGATGTCTGGTGTATGTATTAGAAGGGAACAATTTAGTTTCCTCTCGCTTAGTACAGAATGAGCTGGAAGTACAGACTATTTATGCAGGTCTTTCGCAAACAATATTTGCTCTGAATGAACATCAATGATAACTTCCAAAACTTAAGGTAGTAGGCAGGTGCTTGGTTCTGTCATCCCAGGACCATATGGAAGGATTCAGCTGTGAAGAATGGGCATTTCACAACCCCGTTATTTGTCCTTGCGGCATCGGAGGAGACGATGCAGACTATGAAACTCATCATGATGTCTTCTAGAAGGTACAGACCTCTCAGACAGCTGGTTGTCCTCTGGAGTTATTTCCTATGGATCTAACCACCAGGCCAACCTCTGCAAGAACCAGAGCAAGAAGGACACTTCCTAGAAGGTGCTGCAGACATCCCGTATTCCCAGAGAAGGAAGGCACCACCTGAAATTCTGTGCCTCCTTTTGGAAAAGAAAGATACTATTCTGCTTTACAACTATTTTACCAATTACATAAATATCCATATGAAAAGGAATGTCCTGCCATGAAAACAGCTTCTGTTTCTTGGAAAGTCGCCCAAAGAGCCAGGAGCTCTTACCACCAAGCCCTGCTTCCACAGCACGCGCAGCCAGCACAGCCTGGCGTTTTGAACACTGCGAGTCGTTGTGCTTGGTGGGACGCTGAGCTGTCACTCGGCCACGGAAACGCACCGCCCTGACCCCATTCCCTGGCCGCCTTCCCAGCCAAGGCCACCTGGGTAGCAAGGGCGCTTCCAGCGGGTCTGCAGGCTGCCCGCAGGATTGGTTTGGTGCTCGAAACACGGTGCTGCTTCCTCTGCCGCGGCCGGAGGGCTGGAGAGGCGCAGAGAGCTGGAGGCACCGAAGGGGCGCCCCGGGCCCTGCCTGCTCCTGTGCACGAGCAGAGCGGCCCAGCGTCTCCCAGCTCTGTTAACTGCCGTCTCTTTGGTGGGGCTGGGGGCTAAACTGAAATGTAGTGTGGAATGTGTTGATTCTGAGGAAAGGCTTCTTGAGAAAATATGCTTAATTTGAGTGGGAATGTTCTGTGCTGCTGTGGCACAGCAAAACTTTGCTCGTTTTGATTTTAGAGGACTTTATCCTTTTTTTTTTCTTTATTAATCTTCTTTTTATTTTAAGAAAGGCCCTCAGAGTCAGAATAAAGTATCTCAAAATATCACATCTCAAAGGATTCTCCCTTCTCTCTCTATCCCTCCTACAGTTAAAAAAAAAAATCTGGGTTTGTTTTCCCTCTGTCCAAGTTGGAAAAAGCGCAATTGCTCAAATTCTGGGATTTGCACAGGAATTTTGAGTGTTGCTCACTCGGATCTCTGCAGTTCCCTGGGAGCGCCGGCAGGAGGTCAGCCCTGCTCCGCGCCCGGGGCGCTGGAATTCCCTCTGCGGCTGCTGGACGCACCCGCCTGGAGCTGAGCGGAGGAGCGGCTGCCTGCAGGGCTCCTCACTGCGGGGAAAGGGAAGAAAACTTGACCTTCAAGGTGCTCATGGACTGAGGGAAAAATCCTTTAGAAATGAGCTAAATACATCTTTTACAATTCTTGAATTGATTTCTTGAATCTCTTTTCTTGAATGATTTTCGATTAATAAAGTATTCAGTTGAAGGAAGCTTTGAAATGAGCCATCACTTCAAATGAAAAAAATCAAAGCCTGTTTTTCTGCAAGTGCCAGACTGACATAAACGCTAAAAAGACTGAAATGTTTATGTTCTGATATTTTTTTTCAAATTAAATGTTTGAATTTGCAACATGCATTAGTATCATCAAAACTACTTTAAAAAACAACCTGGGAAAAAACAGTTGTGTATCTTTCCTCTACACACACTCAGCTCTATTTCCTATTTGTTATGCTCTCTTGCCCCTGCTAAAATTCGAACATAACACAAACACAGTGTTAAAAAATAATCAAGAGGAAGGAACAACCAATACGCGCTGTTTGCTTTGATGAAACGAGACAGTCACTTTGTACAATATTATAAGTGAACTTGAAGGTAGCATTTCTTCCCGAGAAACCTCCCCAGAACCAATACTGCGCCCAAGGAGGTGTCTCCCGGCGCTCTGCACCGCGCGTTGAGCTCACGGCCTCGCCAGAGCCGTGTCCACCCCGCGGTGCACCCACGTCTCCACCCGTACCGGTGCTGAGGGGCTCCAGGCTGGCAGAGCTCCGAGGACGACGCTCCTGGGTGCGGGAACAGCCAGGGAGCAGCCCCGCAGCTGCAGCTCTCCCCAGTGCTGCCGAGGAACCCGTGCTGTCACACAAGGTGCTGCAAGTGCACAGACCAATCTCCCCCTGAGCCCCGCTGTGCCCTCAGTCCCACCCATGCGGAGAAGTAATTTTTTATGACCAAGAGGTGCTGAGCTTCTCTGCCCACATGCAAGCCCAAATGTCTTTGATAGCAGTCAAACAGTCCAGCTTTGAAAGACTTAAAGGTTTGATTCTCAAATCCTGGGCTGCTCTGTTTAAATTCTGCTTCCTTCCAGTGGAAAGCTTATCTCTAAGATTATATATTGGACATTGACAGACATTTCTTTTTTTTTTTTTCTCCTGAACATGAAAAGATTTGGGAGGTAAGGATTAATCTCACACAGAAGTCACAGGTTTTGGCACCAAAGCTATGGAGCTAACTTTGTGTGCAAAGCGCCTTTCTCAGCATTAGCCCTGGAGCTGGAAAGCAGCACGCGGGAAGCAGTGCCAGCTTTGAGCAAATGTACCAGAAAACTCGCAGGGCCTGATCCCTCTCATTCTCATTCTAGTGAGAAGAGGGGAAAACAGGGCTGGACTCGACTTGTGGCTTTGGAAAGCTTGAATGAGGAAGGATTGGTTTGGGAACTGAAACGTGGTATCTCAGGGCTATGTGACTCTGGTCTTTGATGGATTTGCTCAGTCATCTTGGTGCAATAGGGTTCCTGCCAGCTAAAAAAGCAATCACAGAATAGAGTCTTTTAGATGCTTAACAAAGTAAAAAATGCAAGCAGGTGCCTCCAGGGATGCAGGAAAGGGAAATTTCCTCTGGTCCCTTCCTGGGCTCCCCTCTGCACTCCTGGTAGCCGTTAACCTGCATCTGTACCAGAGCAGTCTGCAGCCTGTGATGGCTTTAACCCTCTGCTTGCCACCTCCTCCCCCGGCAGCACAGTGTTAACAACCCTGCACTTCGTGCAGCTATGCCAGTGGCTGGGGCTACTTGTTAAGCCAAGAACCAAGTCTGTAGAGGAGTTATCCTTCCTTTGGGACACATCTTGACATAGAGGCAGGAGAGAAACGTAGTGCCGGAAAAGCCAGGACTAAAGAATTATGACCATGAGACCAAGAGGAAGCAGGGAAAGGTGAGTGCTGACAAAGACCAACACCACACACAGCTTCTCCAGCTTGGGGCGGACATGCGCCCTGCCATGCTCCAGGCCTTCTGGTTGAGATGGTGAGTGTGTCTGGAGCCAAAGGGGACCTTAAGGTGTCTCGGCGCAACCACAGTCCTGCGTGGCAGGGAGGTGCTGAGCTCCTGCGGCGAATGCCAGCACTGCGTAGCACCATGCACCATCCCTGTTAAGCAGGGAGTTGCGTCTCACTGGAGCCCAAATATAGCAGGGAAAGTTTTAATTAAGAGGTTGCTGAATTGCTAAATACAGAGAAACTGCACCCCAGGTGTATGAATTTAACAGGCTCTTCATCATGTGCTGATGTAGGAGGAACACGTCTTAATGCAGGCAGGGGCTCTTTGCTTCAGAGACCAACATGGGGGTGGCAGGAGCCTCCCCTCTCACAGGGCCAGCCCTGACTCAGAGCTTGCTGCAGAGCCTGGCATCTGAAGGACAAAGCAAACAGGCCCTGCTCACCGCCTGCCCCGCAGCAGTGAGCTCGCTCGTGCTCCCAGAGTGAAATACCAGCTATTTGAGCCTGGCAGCCTTTCGCTCGTGTCTTGGAGAGAGCAGTTTTTAGGCTAGTGCTTTGGCTAATAACTGCCAGCACAAATAAGCAGTGGGCCTAGCAGAGCCAGAAAACAGGGGAAGAAAGAGGAGAGGCTCCCATACATTTGGCTATCTTCCTAGGAGTCAACAAGGAATGGACAAATGAGAAAGGAAAAGAGGAAGAGAGAGGTGTTTTTGCCCCCTCTTCCTAAAGACCCAATTTCTCATAGTACCTGTGGCAGCAAGGAGGGCAGCGCAGCGAGAGAGGAGCTGCTGAGGGGGGTTAAGCCACTGACCTAGCCCATTCAGCTTGAAACTCCACAGTGGAAACACAATCCCCCAGAACTGCTTCCTGGCTTTGTATTATCCCAGGATACAACACGCAGGGTGTCAGGCTCCGACAGGCTTCTCCAGGTCTTATCCAGGCTCAGCTTCTAGAAGAACTGCCCAGGGCAGGTACCTTGGGTCAAGCCACTAGTCAGGGAGACGAGTGGCCTTTTTCAGATATGTTCTCCCAGACAAACTTGGAGCCTCATTGAACCCTTTGAAGATAAAGCCT